GTCAGCATTTAGATCTGGGGTATCATTTCCATTACCCCAAAATACCATTTAGGTTGTAAAATAGAATGTGCTAATGAAGGTTAAAACAGAAATTATTTACCTGATATTATGAAGGCCTGCATAAAAAGTTATTGTGAAATCCATTGTCTTCTAACAGCCACAGTACCAATTCATTCCTGAAACTGAAAATTATTATACAAATATTAAATAATACATAATTTTAAAGTTCGGAATGGAATCCAAAAATTCTATTATAAAATATATGATCATTTTAAGCAAGGAAAAGAGAGAACATTTATGTTACAGCAGCAGAGAAGATTCAATCTATGTATTAGCTAGAATAAGAAGTTATGAGACAAGAATGATGATTAATAGTCTATTTCTACACAATTTTTAATCAGAGTTGAAAATGTTTATCTTTTTAACCCAAATGGCAATGGGTTAGGTACAACACAATGAATTTGAATTCGTGTTTTATCTCAGTGAAATTTACCTGCGCCTTATACCATATACTACATCTGACGCTTGCATATGACCCTAAACTTCCAAAATGCATGGTGAATATAATATAGACTAGAATTTTCTTATTTTCGTCCTATGATATCTCTAACATTTACAAATAAAAATATCAAGAAGCTAGACCAAATCTTTCTGAAACAATGAAAATATCAGTTTGCTCAAATTTCATCACTCTCATGTTCATAGGCCCAGGTTAAAGTATTAGTAAGTCGAATATTATATGCAAAAGTTTGAAAACACTTTGAAGAATGTTTAAGTAAGTTTATTCATTACTTCAGAGAATATTTATCCCATTGAGACTTTCGACTAGTATCCCCTAGTCTTTTATATAATATATAAACCAGAGAGATGAACTTACATAGAACCACTTTGAAGAAGATTTTGGACAGATTTGGGAATACATGTACAATTTGATACCAGTTAGGAGAACTCGTACCTGAGACTGCGAGATTTTTAAATATTTCGACTGAAGTGGGGCACCTGTGAATATTATATTGGACTTAGCGGATTTTCTCGCATATACGCCCCCCTAAATTTAGGCCCATGGGCCAAAAATCGAATATAGTACGCTTATACGCCCATGGGCCTATAAAAAATGACTATTTATTGATTTTTTCAATAAATTCAAGAGTATTTTGTCACTGGCAGATCGTTCTGTCGTACTTTGTTTCATTGTATTAACATTCATTAACAACTTAACATTCCATTGTATTCATCAGCTCTTCTCACCTTTACGCCCACTGGGCCAAAAATCGAAAGTAGTACACTTATACGCCCATGGGCGAAAAATAAGAGGTAAAATAACAGACGAAATTGCCCCTTCTTTCAGTTATACGCCCAGGGCTTATATGCGAGAAAATCCAGTACTTATACTAAACTTTGACCTGGGCCTATGTTCATGCTGTACCTTATCAGGCCCGTAGCAAGGCCCCTCTTTCAAAATTATGCAGTTTTCACCAGTTCAAGCACTTTTTGCATGAAATTTTAACCAAAACTGTCAAAAAGCTCCCCCTTGCACATGCTATCTATTGCAAGACTAACGCCTGGTGTAACCGTCACCATGTTATTCGGTGTTTTTTAAGTAGCGCAAGGATCCTGTCATGACCGTGGTAATGTTAAAGCCTAATATGACCGTGACAATGCTTATAAGGCCTGTCATGACCGTGGTAATGTTAAAGCCTGATATGACCGTTACAATGCTTGCAAGGCCTTTCATAACCGTGACAATGCTATATTATATTGCAAGGCCTCTCATGACCGTGGTTGTATTTAAAGTAGCTTGAGAACACTGTAATGACAATTTTTCTTCGTGTTTAACTACCTTAAATATGTAAATAAAGACTACTAAAAATGTGTATTAATTTCACAACGAAAACCTAATTTTTACTCATAAATAATTTGTGAACAAACTATATCTCTACTCTCATTCAAGGAGCTTCGATTCGAAAGCATATACTTTCTATAATGATCAATTAATAAGATTTATCCATAAAAAATACCAACAGCAATGGGCGAAACATGAAGGTCATTAATGTCATATAAAGGTTGCGGTCGCGCCAGGCTTACACTACCACGGTCATGGCAGGCATTTTAATATAATACAGCATTGTCGCGGTTATACCAGGCTTTCACGATAACATTACCACGGTCATGGCAGGATCCTTGCGCTACTTAAAAAACACCGAATAACATGGTGACGGTTATGCCAGGCGTTAGTCTTACAACAGATAGGGTCTCCCCCTTGACAAAAGCTCCCCCTTGGTAAAACCACTCCCATTGGTAAAAAGTGTCTACAGGCCTGCATATCCCAAACAATCAACTGTCAAGCTTACTTTTTATAACATGGGAAATCCTAACTTCAGCAAGTCCAGCTGTGCCATTTATTTATGGTGAGCGCTGCATGTGATGATAAGGTAACAGAATTACATGTACAGTGGGGGGCATAAAGAATTACAAACCCTATGGAAATTACATGTTGTCGCATATGTAATAAATTCTTACCTCAGTGTATTCAGTGCTCTATTTTCTCCGTCATAGTAAGTCCAGATATAGTGGAATTTGTGTCCATAATGACAAATAAGAACTTAAAAATTTGATGTGGAATTCACATGTTAATGCAGACTCTTCAAATGTTGAGGTGATTTTGGAGCCAGATTACGCCGCAATGTGGGTTGGCTCCCAGAATGCAACATGACACGTGTCAGCTTTCAAAATGCCATTCCGCCGTTTTGAAATACGTCACGAATAAATAAGGTTACTTGGTGTTGCATTCTGGGAGTCAATCCTCCTTGGATCACAAACATGGCGATTCATGAAAACATTAGTCCGATTTGGTAGGGATTTATCCATCATTTGCAGGTATGAGGCTTTGGATTCATTTATTGTGCTACTTAAAGTGGATGGGAATTATTTTTCTACCACTTGGGAGAGTTTGATACATGAAACTTAGAATTTAGCTCATTGTGACAACTTTTGAGGGTTGAGATTTATTTTTGTCCCCCACTTTATATCTGACACAATTGGTGATGCTTGCTCTTGATGTTCCAACATGTTGTCATCCCATGTACTTTAGTCTAAAGGTCCGTTGACTTGTCATCCATTCCTCTCAACTCAGCATAATTCTAAAAACACCTTCCGTCCGATTTGGAACTCTAAATTTTTAAATCTTTCACTTTCAGCCTCCTAGTAGTCACATTGAAATGAACAAGACACTTCTATATGTCTGTGATATGTAACTTAAGTTTCTACATATTTACTGATGTAGTATATACATCAAATATACGAGGTTTATTGAATCTAGGTCTAATCTAAAACCAATATATTTTCTTTTTTCTTTCGAGAACCGAACAAACAAAAATCCACAAAATTGCACTCACGTTAGTTGCCCTTCCACTTCCGGGTACGTACAGGGTAAGTCAATGAACCTGTCATTGATTATTTATATTCTAACGGCTCTTATGACAATTAAAACCATTTTTCTTAAATTAAATAGTTTTAGATTAAGAAAATTATTCAAATTAATACTGTTTAAATTGCAAAATAGACAAGTACTTTGACAGGGCTTTGTTTGTTTTGTATAAAACGGCACAATATTGGTTTCTCACTCCGTATAGTTTAAGAGGTCAATATGTCATGGTCAATTGTTCTAAAAATACAGCATCAAACATCACAAAAGTAAATACTTTTCCAAATAAGAATATAATCTTCAGCTGTGAATACATTTAAGTCTACATTCTTCTGTTTTATAATGAGAAACATATGTTGAAAGTGATGACACCAAGTTTTACTTTAAATGACAAATCCGACGTCAAAACGGAATCAATATTTTTCACAAATTTTAAACATCATTTTCGAATAAAGTTTTATTAGTTGTATTAACGTTTTATTTTAGAAAAAAATCGCTACAATATTTTAAAAAATATTGAAGATACCACACGTGAAATTTGAGATTGATCTATAAAAAATTGACAAATTGTTACAGTTTTAAGCCAAAGAGGTACGCGACCAAAAATGGCGTAAAAATGAAAGCGAATCACGTCGTAGGGAATGCAGTCAATTTGCTTTCCTGATTTAAATGATAATATCTTGGTATATCCTCATTACATTTATTTCTCAAAATTGCATAATTTGAAACCCAAGAATAAATACTACAAATTGTGAAAATTTAAGACTCATTGAGAACGCACTTGTAAAAGAAAAGCAAATTATATACCTTGTTTACGTTATCCGAGAACGTCTTTGATGACGCCATAAGCTCAAAAATGGCCATTTTTAAAAAGTGACTCACCTAACTTTGAGATTTACGGAAACTACATTGAAATGATCATAAATTCCCAATTTTTTCACATAAATTAAACCACATAAGGGAGTCAATATTCAGAAAGTTTGAGGAAAAAATATCCAAAACTGTATGATCGTTACAGTTTTTGCTAAAATGTTGAAAAAATAAGATTTTTTTTGTCCAAAAAAAGTTTATCGGCCGGCGCGATTTTTCTACCTCCAATTCTTTTCAATGTGTGATTTAATTTAATTCATTCTATAGATCTAGATATAATCTACCATCACACCAAATATCATAAAGATATGCAAGAATATGAATGCGCACGAGCCGCTCAACTTTTCATGTATACACTGAATTTTTTCTTGAGAATGCCGTCATAGAATATAGTCCCGCGGAAGACCACTAACTTTTTTTTAATAATCACCGCTTTTGTGCCGTCGGCCTCCTAGCTGGCTTGAAATCGGGTGGGTGGGCAGGCATCTTGATAAATACTTGTCTCCAGGTTTTTAGCCAAACCATTTGAGGGATCCATCTGAAATTTTTAGGGATGTTCCTCCATATATGAAACTTTAGACATGATTAGCTTTTGACAGTTTGGTAAATTTTAAGGTGGACATTTTGGATTTTCCATCCAGAAATCTTGTCTGTGTAAATTAATTGTCTGATCACCCCTCTTATATTTAAAAGCTCTTATTTCTAGGTATAATGGCTGGATCTCCTTGTCCACCTGAAATCATGAAACAAGTCGTTGAGCGTCTTCATATGCCCGATGTCACAGTATGTAAAACTTAGTGAACACCTCTCTCAATTCTGTGTCTAGTGAACACCCCTTCTCAGCACATATTCCACTACCTTCTGTATAAAATTGCTTCTCTGTAGTGAACATTTACCTACAGTGAACACATTTTTGTGGTTCCATAGGTGTTCAATGTACACAGGTTTTACTGTAGAGGTTGCTTTCTGCGGCACATACCCAATCATGCCCATATCACGCTTTTGAATTGACATGTAATACAATTTTCTTGCTTTGTGCATATGCACGGTTGCCTTTAACTTACTGTATTCTCTCTAAAGAGTGCACAATTCCAATGAGTGTGTGTGCAACTTTTATGTTGGATATGGTCTTAAGTAAGCGCAGAATTTAATGCATTAGTTTTGCTTATTTACATAACAAGATTTTGATTGATAATTATATTTAATGAAATGAAAGAATGAAATACAGGAGCTGTAGAGCTCTGTATAGTATGTATTGGTGATAAAAACTGAAAAGATAATTGGCAATATTTTTTTCTTAATTTTTTTGTATGAGCACTTATTGGAGAGAATATGGTACCTTGTTCCATTTAACTTTCATTCTTCAAAAATACTTCAATATAATAACTAATATTTTATAAGAATCACACTTTTAGAAGATTATTGGTGTCAACGCGGTAGCCTGGCGTCTTTAAATAAAAAATGATGAAGCTACACATTCATAAAATTTTCCCATGGCATATGGCACCTTCTTGGCTTCAAAAGAAACGAGCATCATGGATCCCCCCACAACCTTTATTTATTAACCTAACTTTTGTGATTACATTCTGGTTTGATTCCTTGACAACATAACAATATACTAAATGATTTAACTACTATAATACAAATGTATGTACGGGTATAAGCATCACCTGTGGTGCCACCTGTTATTAATAATATGTGTACACATAATGATTAAATGTATGAATAAAAAACAAAAAAAACTGGATTGCTTCCTTGTATGAAAATATGGAGCTTACCAGACTTTGAGATACTGGTTATTTTTAAGGTGAAGATTTTGTGTTCATGAAGGGACAAATCCAGATTTTATCCAACACTGGCTTGATGCCACACACACATGCAAATAGTTTAGATGTAAATTTTGATGAATAGATGAATCGTTTATTTTATTTATTTTTTATTTCAAAGAAAAAACATGTTAAAGCAATTGCAAAAACAATACAGTTACATGGTAAACGTACACTTTACAATACAGTATTGGTTAAACGTTAGTATTTAAGAAATTTTATACCATTGGCAATTTAAAATAAATAAAAATAAATAAATGAATTATTTGTGTCAATACCACAAAAGCACACTTTGCCATTTTGATTTTATATGCAAGCTTAAAATCTCTATTACCTGAAAAGGCTTACCTTTCCATTACAGATACAGTAAAACCTGTCTAATATGAACACTACTAGGCCCAGCCAAAAGTGTTCAGACTGGCAGGTGTTCACAAATGAGGTCTCTAATATATGAGTCAATGAAAGGTAACAAAATTAGGACCAAGAATAAGTGTTCACATTGAGAGGTGTTCCATTATACAGGTTTTACTGTAGGTAAAAGTTCCAATTATTTAACTGAGTGGGTTTGGTTCTTTCCAGGTGTGCTATGGGACAACAGAAAACAGCCCAGTTACATTCCAGAGTAATATAACTGATCCTGTTGAGAAACGTGTAGGGACCATAGGAACACCTGCGGCGCATGTAGAGGTGAGCTTTCTAAATTGTAGGGAAGTTTAGCTACATGTTTTCACAAGGGTTTGTACATGAATATTAGATGTGTCAAGGGTCAGATATTCATTGGGTCGGGTCAGGCCACAAAAAAGTGTACTGACCCGACCCGAAATTGAAAAGTAGTTGTTCGTGACCCGACCCGAGCCTTCCGACCCGATATTCGGGTCAACTTCGGGTCGGTGTGACACCTCTAATGAATATGTAGAGCTTTGATCCTCTTGGGATAAGTTGTGGTTGTGCAAATAGGTAATTGAAAAGAAAATTGAAAAAAGCTGTAGGTAGAAACTGACAATGTTCTTATCATGTCAATGTTATAATTATGTGTACCGGTAGATGTAATTCATTTATGAAAATTTGTCTTTGATAACATTTAACCTGGCAAAAATTGTAAGTTGAAATTAAAAAAATTGTAGGTGAAGATCATTGATGAAGATGGGAATGTGCTACCATTGGGGACACCTGGTGAGCTGTGTACACGTGGTTATGCGACCATGTTGCGTTACTGGAATGATCATGAAAAAACAGAGGAGGTCATTATGCCTGATCGCTGGTATAGGACTGGGTAAGAACTGGAAAGCTAGAAATCGCTAGCATTGTTACTAGTATTACAAAATAGTGCTTAAAAGTGTCCTATAAAGTATAAAAATGGGCATGCTTCCTGGCGCTGATAAAATATAAATATAGAATTATTACGATTGTCCAATGCCACTGTATTTTCTATTAACTAGTTGTTCTATTGTGTGAGCAGTCAAGGATGTTGTATCCAATTATTTAACCTCAGTAGTTATAACAAAACAGTACTAAACAAAAAAAAACGCAAATACACCCATTTAAAAAATTAACTAGTCTAATCAGTGAGTGTAAACTCTGTGCTATACGTAGCCAAAAAGGGCGGACACTTTAAGTTCAGTGATATAGCTATGATGTCAGTGTCTTTGCTATAAGATAGGCGATTAGGCGTAGCATGAAGACGTTTTGAAATATATACACAACTCTACAACTCATTCAATATTAGAATTGTATTGCTATAAATCCAGGTACATTGCTATAATTCTATGATATTGCTATAACTCCAGTGATATTGCCATCATGGAAGCAGATGGGTTTGCCAGGATATCAGGCCGTATGAGAGATCTCATAATTCGTGGTGGGGAGAACATTTACCCAGTTGAGGTGGAGAACTTCCTATACAGCCATCCTAAAGTTGAAGATGTACAGGTAAGTGCCTATGTTGTAGTCCTTCTGAGGTAGAATTAGCTTGTATTTGCGTACAACTAACGCCTGTTGGCTACCATATTAATCTACTATTTTATGGGCAATTGTCATTTAAATATGAATAGTACCTGCCACTATTCCATTCATATTAAAATGAATTGGTCATAAAATTGCATGTTAATCCGGTAGCTGACAGGCATTAGTTGCATTCTCGAATACAAGCTAAAAGCCAATAGACTAGATGCGAATAGAAAAGTCTTGATTTACGCCATTAAATATTCAAAATTCAGTCAAAGCGATGTTATATTTGAAATCTACATCTAAAAGTACATCTAGAAATATGGTTTCGAAAATTGTTTATCAAGTTTGAAAATTTAATTATTTTTGAAAGTGTGACTTCTAGTTCGGGTTGATTCTCCATAGAGCCCATGTTACAAAATCGCAAAAAGTGAAATATCTTTTCTTATATTGGTCAGATAATATTTTCATTTACTGGACATATTTTGATTTGCATAACTATTAGATACATAAGGATTATATGAAAATTGAGCCACTAAAACAGATGTAATTTAAGTTAAAGGGAACTTTCTACTATACCCGCCATGCTATCTGACCCGAACGAGCCACCTGGTGGTGAAACTGGTAACTACCTACTCGCATCTGCGTTATTGATTGCAAATTAGTTTAATGCTAATATAAAGATGGCAGCAGTGGTAGAGATTTGTTTATTTTAAACAGATTGATTGCACTGCCATCTTTATTTGAAACTTATATCTATCTAGCTTTAACCTCAAGAAACCTCGTGTGTACACTCACCATCCTTATATTGGCCTTAATATTGTAATCATATTTACTTCTCTTTTTCAGATTATTGGTGTTCCTGATGAGAGACTTGGGGAGCAGGTGGCAGCTTGGATCAGACTGAAAGAGGGCCAGACAGCAACTGAGGATGAGATTAAAGAATACTGCAAAGGAAAGGTAATACTTGGCAGAGGATAGTTTATAACTATAGATTCTGCATGCAGGGTAATATATTTCAAAGTTCAACACCAACTGCTATCAAATTGGAGGCTTATGGACAACTCATCCACTAGACAACTCATCCCCTAAACAACTCATCCCCTAGACAACTCATCCCCTAGAATACTCATCCCCTGAACAACTGATCCCCTAGGTCTCTAACTTTTTTGTGGATGGTGTTTGCCATTTGTGTTTGTCATTCGGTGGTTGGTCTTTGGCAGTCAGTGTACGATGTCTGTAACAAATGGCAGCTGGTGACATTTTGCATGATAATGCCCTGTGTGATATTTTCTTTCACCAAACAAAGGTATCACAGGTGAAAACTGTTTAGCAATTAAGTTAATTTCTTATTCCAGATATCTCATTTCAAGATCCCGAACTTCGTCACATTTGTGGAAGATTACCCATTGACCGTGACTGGCAAAGTACAGAAGTATATCATGAGAGAAAAGGCTGTGAAATTGTACAACCTTGAGCATGTTACACCTCACTAAGCCAAGGAGTCCTCATAGATTATGATGGTGTTTGGAAGGGGTCTTTATTGGTCACAAGAGCCAAATGTTGAATAAGATACTCATTGTGCAACAATATGATCTGTTGATCACAAACCGCACAAAATAATATTATCCAGACCAGCTGATAATTTTAGTATTATAATCAGGAACATGGCTTATAATGCAGTTTTGATTATTGGATCTGCAATTTTTTACCTTACCTTATGTCATGTTTGATGTTCAAGTATGAAGTGCAAAAAGTAGGAATAAACTAAAAGGCCTGTTGACGACACTCTAGAAATACTGAAGAACCTGACTTCATTAAAAATATAGAAATAATGCAGAGTAATTATTTTATGTGAGAATGCATGTAGGTACATGTAAATTGTGATTGTTAATGGACTTAATTCTGTTGAAGTGGTAATTAATCTGAGTGGTTAATTTGCCAAATTATCAAATTTCATAATTTACCAATTTTCCTAATGACAAGAAACTTCCCATAACACTAAAGAAACTTCCTATTGTATATCATTTTGAAGATGATATTACCAATATTTCATTTTCCAAACCTAGTAGAAATTAGGCAATAGGCAAATTAAATGATAAGGCAAAATTACCACTTATACAGTATAGATCATTCCTGGAAATGATTTGTATACAATCCTTATATGATTGCATGCGCACAAAGCAGATACATTTATGAGATTATATATGCAGAAACATGTATTAAATCTTAAAGGCAGAATCAGATCTATAGGGTTGACAAAATTGCACGCAACATGTACTCTTGACCTCCCAGTCTATTCCTTACAATGTCAAATACAATATGTTATAAATTGGTGAAGTTATATATGATTCACAGTGCAAAAATGGATGAAATATGTTTAAAATCTCCCAAATAATAAATATGGTAATACAGACACGACAAGGAATGATATGAGCTAAAAAATATTCTGAAATAGAAACAGTTTTTGTTTAGCTTGCTTGCTAGATCTGATTCTCCGTTCAAAGAGTAATAACAAGCCATAAATAGTGCAATATAAACCAAGGTCTAACAGGTGATAGGAAATGCTTTGCTAAGGAAACAAAATATACAGGATGGGCCAAAAAATGTGAATTTTTGAGAATTCTGGTGTTTTACCTAATCTTTACTTTCATATGCTACACAAAGACATTCACCTGTACACATGTTAGAGGGAAGGCCTATGCAAAAATACAAAAACTGTATAAGACTAAGTAATAGGGTGTACTTGATAGATTTGATTCGAAATGCTCTTTTTCTTAATATATTTAGTTTTTAATGAAGTATAAGTAATATGACTCAATAATATACTTGTAAAACACAATTTGTATGAATTGAAATGGTTTTTAGACAAGTTTTCTCTTTACAATGTTTAACTGACCAAAAATTATTTCAAAATTATGTAGTTTTTGGCCCTGCTCCGTTGGCTTAGTTAGAATACCAAGTATCTCAACTAATTTTGGTCCACCCTGTATAGACTATATTAACACTGTAATACTATACCAGTATAATTAATGAAAAGTTGTATTCAAGTATAACCAAGTGATTTTGGGCGAAGGTTGTCTATACCAAGCTTCTCAAGCATTAAAAATTGTATTCAAGTATAACCTTATATTCAGCAGCTGGAGTTGTAAAATCCAGGGGTCGAAAGTATAATGGAATTTCTTTTTGATAAAGGGAAGTTTTATCACAGCATGCAATTTTTTCAAGGTTTCATATTTACAGAAAATATGGTTTATACCTGAGAGCAGCAGATTATATAAAAACTGTAACAAATACCCAGATTTTTGGAATTTTTTTATATCACTTTTTCTGCCAAGCATAAAAAATAATGTCCCATTTTATGCTGGCATAAAAAGTGATATGCCATTTTATGCTGGCATAAAAGGGATATCAAAAAGAAAAAATAAATATGGGTATTTGTTATAGTCTATTTTTATATAATCTGCTGTTACAGTGTATCAAAGTCTGTTGTTGGTGAAATATGTCAGATGGATATGATTCGAAAATATTTTGATTTTGATGCTTTTAAGGATCAGATTTGTCCATCAGATATTGCCCATTTGATATGAGCAACAGGGTATATAGGTCGTATTGACCTATTTAATTAGCAGAGTATTTTTATGATGTAAATGAGAATATGTTTTACGAATATGCAGGGGCATAGTCAGGTTTTAAATATAGACGAGGCAAACATCAATACTACAAAATAACTAGGAGAGGCAAATTTAGGCTAAAGGTACAGTGAAACCTGTAAAGTGGAACACTTCTCAGAATCCCAAGAGCAACTGACTTAATGTTAAATGAACCTCTATAAGTGGAACACTTTTTAGAGTTCCAAGAGCAACTTACTTTATGTTAGATAAGCCTCTCTGGAACACCCAAGTGATCACTTTTTAAAGGTACCAAGACCAACTGACTTAATGTAAGAAGAACCTCTATGAGTGGAACACCTCTCAAGTGGAGCACCTTTCAGAGTCCCAAGACCAACTTTCTTAATCTTAAATGAACCTCTATAAGTGGAACACCTCCCAAGTGGAACACCTTTCAGAGTCCCAAGACCAACTTTCTTAATCTTAAATGAACCTCTATAAGTGGAACACCTCCCAAGTGGAACACCTTTCAGAGTCCCAAGACTAACTAACTTAATCTTAAATGAACCTCTATAAGTGGAACACCTCCCAAGTGGAAAACTTTTAGAGATTCCAAAGGTGTTCCACTTATAGACAGGTTTAACTGTATAACTTAACTACACACGTACTACCAAAGTTTTAGGTAAAAGCATCTGAAAATTCATGTTATTTAAATTTTTGATGAGGCTATTGCCTCTCTTGCCTCATCTGCCTGACTATGTCCATGACTAAAGTTAGAATTGAAGAAATTGGATTATTTTTTAACCTGTATTAAAGAAATTTTAAAATATTTTTATCTGAAATAAAGTGCTTTAAAAATGAACAAGCAGGTTGTGTTTATGAACTGGAGTGCAATACATTGTTCCATCATTGCTAATATGATTATGGATAGTTTTTCAATTTACAATAGATTTTTCCAATTTTAATGCCCTCTCATGAGTAACACAAAAGTTCTATGTAAGTTCATCTCTCTGGTCTATATATATATATATATATACTAAAACAACTTTATTCATTTCTTCAGAGATTTTTTTATTAGAGCAAGGCTTATTTTGACTTGTATTTTAAATCTTGAAAAAGACATGAGGATACATGTCGAAAGCCTTGATCTCATAAAAAAAGTCTCTGTTGATATGAATAAAGTTGTTTTAGGAGAAAACACAAAAGTTGTTTACTAATGGCGCGCACAGATTCAGATTCCAAATATCAATAACTCTCATCTGGAAAAATATGATTACATGTTACATAGCTCAAATTGATGGAGTGACCTAGACAGTTCCTCATTCTTTTTGATGCTGTGTTGCCCTTGAGAAGTAGAATAAAATCCACAATAAGAGATAGACCCCATCAGCCCATGTGAATGTTAACTTTATAGTTAACCCAGATAAAATGACAAACTTCACATGTACAACCAAAGTTTTAGTTTAAAAAACCATGAATAAAGTTAGAATAGAAGAAATTGGAGTATTTTTTACCTGTATTAAAGAAATTTTAAAATATTTCTTTTATCTGAAATAAAGTGCTTTAAAAATAAACTAGCAGGTTGTGTTTATGAACTGGAGTGTAATACATTGTGGTTTTGGTAAACTCCATCATTGCTAATATGATGATGGGTAGTTTTTTTCAATTTACAATAGATTTTTCCAATTTTAATGAACTGGAATGCAATACATTGTGGTTTTGGTAAACTCCATCATTGCTAATATGATGATGGATAGTTTTTTTTAAATTTACAATAGATTTTTCCAATTTTAATGCCCTTTCATGAATAACACAAAAGTTGTTTACTAATGGCGTGCACAGATTCAGATTTCAAATATCAATAGCTCTCATCTGGTCTCAGAAAAAATATGATTACATGTTACATAGCTCAAATTGATGAAGTGATCTATACTAGGCAGTTCCTAATTCCTTTTTATGTGGTATTGACCTTGAGAAGTAGTATAAAAGCCACAATAAGAGATATACCCCATGTGAATATTAACTTTATAGTTCACCCAGATAAAATGACAAAGTTTACATTACCCATAAACCTTAGATGCCTATTCATGGAGCTCATACTCAATAACATGGCTGCAGGGCTTCAGGCTTAAATAGAGAAGGCTTTGGACCTAAGTAACTTCAGGCAATAATAGCAAATAGCAATGAGGCAGGGAAAAAGTACCTTCTCTACTATGGACAACATCTGCGTAGCATAAACTCAATAAAGATTGATCCATAAAACATATAATTTTGAGCCCTATAATTCAGTTCAAACTGTTCATTGTAAGTGTAACTCAGAACAGAAAAGCTGTCTTTTTGTATTGGCTAAAGCGAATTGTAGTCTAGCGGTGGTATATTGTTCTCAACTAGAAAATTTATTGGCATAAAAGTTGAACTGGGTGTCAAAAGTTGTTTTTTCCATTTATATAGGTAAGTGAGTTGATTATTTCACAAAATATGAAGATATCATTATCGAGGTATAGTTTATATAGTTTATTAATGATGTCATTGATAGATAAACTTAAAATTGGGCATATTTTATTTGTTTTGAAAATTTATTTTGCACGAACTTTGAGTTTGAAGATTATGATATTGATCAGATGGATCTGGCCTTAGCACTAGATAAGTTTGAAGACGAAATTTAGAGTAGAAATCCAGGCTGTTAATTAGTCTAATTGTTATACTTACAAGTACATGTACATTCAGCAGAAATTATAATGGATAGTTCATTGGGTCCCATGTAACTTTTACGAGGTACAAACTAAACAGTCACTCAAAAGCCTGGGAACATGTATAGAAAATCAAGTTGAATACACCAAGTAAAGAGATCTCTTAAATTGGTGTATTCAACTCGATTTTTTCATACATATGACCTTTTTAATTTCACAACGGCAATCTCGTAAGTTTGTGAATTCATCAAAATACTTATATTCCATGGCAAATTATAAAAACTTTGATATGAAAACCACCTACTAATTTATTTTTCAAACCTCTTAATTCTTATTGGCCAGATTTACACTAAAACCAGTGTACATTGAATGTTTTTTGCAGACAAAAATGTTCAGTGAAGCTAGGTGTTCGCTACAGGGAGGGTAATTTAAGGACGATGGCAACTATAAAATTCATCGAGAACACTGAATTATCTCAACATTAAACATAATTCAACAGAGTGTGTGTGGAGGACATGTCTACAAGAGACAGGTGTTCACTAGAGAGGTGTTCACTACGACAGGTTTTAATGTAGTTCATCCTGCGTGCGTATAACCACATATCTCATGTACTATGATGTCTTATTGTCTTGTAGATGTAATAAAGCTCGTAGAACTGATCATGCCAAGCCATGGAAAGATACCGAGGGATGACATCATACAGTTCAAGAATTGTCGTCTACTTCGAGATCATTAATTTATTTTTCAAACCTCTTAATTCTTATTGGCCAGATTTACACTAAAACCAGTGTACATTGAATGTTTTTTGCAGACAAAAATGTTCAGTGAAGCTAGGTGTTCGCTACAGGGAGGGTAATTTAAGGACGATGGCAACTATAAAATTCATCGAGAACACTGAATTATCTCAACATTAAACATAATTCAACAGAGTGTGTGTGGAGGACATGTCTACAAGAGACAGGTGTTCACTAGAGAGGTGTTCACTACGACAGGTTTTAATGTAGTTCATCCTGCGTGCGTATAACCACATATCTCATGTACTATGATGTCTTATTGTCTTGTAGATGTAATAAAGCTCGTAGAACTGATCATGCCAAGCCATGGAAAGATACCGAGGGATGACATCATACAGTTCAAGAATTGTCGTCTACTTCGAGATCATAAACTTATAATAGATGATCTTTGGGTGCGCAATGGCAAAATACTCAATCCAGAAAAGGTATTATAATTTTTAATCAACGTTTTCAAACCTACATAAGATTTATGACATCTGTCAAGCCTGTTGATTATTTGATGTCATTGAAACTCCTCCATTTAGATATACACCCCTCCCCCTAGAAGTAGACGTCCCACCAGGCAGAGATATCATATAAGTTGAACTTCACAGGCTTGAGTGCAATGGTCTTAATATGGGTAAAAACTATTGTATCGCCCCATCTACTAGACTGTGGTACTTTAATATGAAAAAGGGAAATTTAAGGACTCGAGTATAAAATGAAGCATTTATTGTACATGTAAACCTAATGAAAGCAATATTTTATCGAACACAGTGATCTCCCAAGCATTAAAGCAAGTGGGCGCAGCACCCACTTGATATTTCAAAAACAGCGTTGCACCCATCTTAAAATCCATTTGCACCCACTTCAGAAGAAGTGAGTAGCTCCCATAATTCTTTCATATTCTATCTTATTCGGGGTTTCCCCGTTTTAGATCTCCAATCAAATTGCAGGCTGTGATCACATGAACAATCATGAGCACGTGCTTTCCCAGTGCCGCGTATGCGCAAAGTAAAAATTGAAATCGTTGAAATGGCGTTTATTTCAGTTTAATATCATTTCAACATCATCATTTCAAAACTACGGTAATACTATTGAAGTTACTCAATCCAAACTTTCAGAGAATACTCATAAAACACAAGCGAACATTGAGAGATCCATTTAAATGGCATGGCAAATGAGGCCTGTTTATAAAATTGGTTATCGAACGTGCCCGAATATGAAAGGTGATCTTTGGGAAATTTCCCCCCTGTACCCACTTGAAAATGAGAAAAATCATAAAAAATTGGGATATTTTGACCAATTTTGGTCTAAGCTGTGAAAATGAGAATTTTGCACCCACTTGAGATGGTCCCAGCATTTTAACAAATGGGCACTTCGATTACCAACTGAGAAAATAAAAAGATTGCACCTACAAAACTCATAGAGAAAACACTGAATCATCTGAACATTATCTTTACAACATATTTTTAAAATATAGCATCAGTAAAAAACACGTTTCATTTCTACAGTTGTTCTTTGATGAAAAAACATACGCTGATGTACAGATTGACTGTCAAGGATGCATCATTGCACCAGGCTACATTGATGTACAGATTAATGGTAAGATGCTTTATAAATTCAACCTCTGCCTTGCCAACCTTACGTTTTGAAGGACAATTGTTAACATTTTCATTAATTCAATCCATACGAAACCAGTCTAATTTGATGCCATTTTTAGAGATTGTTTTAAAATGAATCTTAGAAAATCTGAATGAAATCTGCATTTTCTATTACAATATCAAAAATATTAGATTTTCAGAGAACCAACCAAGGCTCTTATTCATTTGTGTAATTTTAAATCAATATGACTATAACATTATAACCTAAATTCATTCAGATTTGTGAGTGGTAAGAGGAATATGCTTTTCCTGGAATGGTAAAGTAATGAATCAATTTTTAATGATAACCTGTCTCCAAATTAATTACTGGAGTGAGGAAGAAGTTAAAAGGAGATGTAAATGCCTATGTTCACTTGAGAGAGATGTCCTCTTATGTTCTCGAGAGAGAGAAAGGTGTTTACTCTTTTTTCTATTGTTATTTATTTCCAGGTGGCTTTGGTCATGACTTCTCCACTTCAACAGAAAATGTTCTTGATGGCTTAGAAATGGTTGCTAAGGGATTATTGCCTCATGGTGTCACATCTTTCTGTCCAACAATTGTCACCTCTCCACCTGAAATTTACCGACAGGTAGATGTTTTGTTCAGTTTATAACCAGTGTAGCATATCTGTGGATAACCAATGACAACCATGAACAACCACAAAGTTAATGTATGTCATTTAAGTCCAGAGCATATGTCAAGTGCACTTCCAAATTCAGACATAAATCTTCGTAACATGTTGTTTAATGATCAATTCAGTTGAGAATTAAGGTCGAGGTTGAAGACTGTCCATCAAAAATTGACAAGGTGCTGAGGTGAGTAATATTATCAGAATCCTTTCTATTTTCATTGTTGTTTTCCTTCACTTCCGGTATGGATGATAGTCTATGGATGACTCCTTCAAGTATCGTACTTTTTGATGTTGTAGATATTACCAAGGATGAAACGTTTTAATGGTGGACCACATGGAGCAGGAAATTTAGGTAACCTTTCTTTAATATCCTGGACTTAAAGTATCTGATTAGACTACTTTCTTAAAAGGTTCCTATCCATTTCTTAAGCTGTTTGTTATTATTTTTTATTATTATGCTCATTTTTAAGTGACTTTTGATAAAACATGGAAATTAAAATAAACTGTAACAAACAAAGTTTACTGGGACTCCACATCTACGATCCAATTGGAGACCTTATTTCTCACTACCCAAGGACTACTTTTTATACGACTACTTTAAGCCTCAACTGATCAAATATGTGGGCCAATTTTGGATTCTTATAGAGCATATTTGTCTTTTCAGGGGTGCATATAGAAGGCCCATTTATTAGCAAAGAAAAGAAAGGTGCCCATCCTGAGAATTTCATATTAGACTATGAAAATGGATGGAAGGATGTCATGGCGATGTATCATGACCTCACAAACGTTGCCATAGTGACTGTAGCACCAGAGAAGGACTGTACTGATGAGGTCATCAATGAATTTATAAAACGCGACATTGTGGTTTCAGTTGGTATGTTCATCCTAGTTGTTTTACCCTTAATTGCCAAAACTGTGAAATGGTTTAAAATCTGGTCAAAGGATAGTCGGATCATTAAACCAAACTGATAGGCTGAACTTTTTGTCATTTTTATGTCACCACTACAAGTTGTGGCATATTGTTAAAGTCTCTAACTTTTTTGAGGACCTGTTTGGTGGGCAGCAGTCAGCTTTTGGCATCTGTAACAAATGGCAGGTGAAATTTTACATGCCATATAAACTGTCATTACACATTTTGTTGAATTAAATTGCATGACTGACACCATTATCTTTATTTCAGGACACTCCATGGCTAATCTGAAGGCAGGAGAGAAAGCAGTTCAGGAGGGTGCTACCTTTATTACACATCTCTTCAATGCAATGTTACCTGTTAGTATTGACGTGTACTCATTTTTCAAGATAAATAATATGGCATCATTTACTGATTGTACCATAGAAATTATTGACTAAAACAGGCCCATTCTCTTGCTAAACCCTGTACTTGTATTAATTATGCTTTTTCACATAAAATATTTTAAAATATGAAGCATGCAGGTGGAGTCCAACCCAAAATGTATTTTTTTAGTACAGTATGATATTTAAAAAAGCATTGTACTATATGATTCAAAAACCAAAAGAATGTCAAATAGCCACATTTACTATTGTCATAATAGGGCATTGGTTCCTGAAAAACATTTAAAGCTACAGTTTAAAACTACTTGTACTCCTTAAACTTATAATTTAATCCTATACATGTACAATACATGTTATGTACAGTTTCACCACTGTTACCGTTACTTTTTTGTATATGTGTTGCTTCTATACATATCTAAATAATTATAATCATATGTATTAAAATTGCAGTTCCATCACCGGGATCCACATTTAGTAGGCCTACTGACAAGCGATAAAATACCTGAAGGAAAGACAGTATTTTTCGGCATCATATCAGATGGCATTCACACCCACCCAGCAGCCCTGAGGATTGCCCATCGAGTACATCCCCTGGGTAATAGATATAAAAGTACTGTACGGTAAATCCTGACTAATGTGAACACTACATGGCTTTTTTGTTTCACAGGGATTATGGGTAAACCCCCCCCCCCCTTCTCCTTTTCTAAGCAAGCAGCGTATCTTGGTCCCCATTTGCTTTTCCACACCTCTGATTAAGCTAGCAATAAGAAGTCCTTCCACTGATAATGGTTGGCCCTGATAATGGTTTCAACTTTTTATCGCACCTTTGGATGCTACATTGTTTCAGTTTGGTTTCACCCTTTCATTCAGTTTGTTTTGGTATTTATCGCAATTCAAAGATTTTTGAAAAGGTCAGATATAGATAATAAATCTTTTATCATCCTGTTTTTCAAGATAATAGTAAATTGAGATCCGAATTGTCAGTGATGATGCATTGCCTGAAAACTTTACTATTCATCATATTTAGTGTACTCATGAAAAGAATTGGCATTAAAACACTTCAGCTTATTAAATGCCATAAATTAAAAACAATCTTGGTTGCCATGTAACGATTTTCTTGTGTAGCATCACTAAATTAAGAACATGTCACTTTTAAAGGAAGCCTTTTGTAGTGAAGCAGGCAAATTGATGCGTTTTTGCCTTAACGCCATACCCATCTTTATATATTATAGGAACCCTTCCGAGAAAAACAAACGGAAACAGTAATTTCAGCTAGATTAGAGATGAGTCCCCTTAACATTTGTAAAATATGTGTGAATTATGATTTGATAATTATATCACCAGGGCCTCAGAATTGATGTGTATTTTAATTGCCCTCAAACAACTCCCCCCCTCCCATTCAGTTTAAATGTATTTATTGTTCACATAGTTTAAGGCTTTACTGTGCACTATGTTGTCTAAATGATTTAAAAGCTTACAATCCATTTTGGTTAAAAATATGGGTCAAAACATTTCCCAAGAATCAACTTTGAATTTAGTGCAGTGATATAAAATTATACTAGTTGAAAAAATCACAATAAAAAAACAATTATGTAAGACACAAAACAGAATATCAAAATTAAAAGATAAAGGGTTGAATACACCCTCTCTTAATTTAAAGCACCTTGTGTTTGTGGACATCAACCAATACTACGAGAATACATATATACATGTATTGAATATCAACCAATGTACTGAACACCACTGAATGAATGTACTTTTTTATGGTTATAGGGTTGGTATTGATCACCGATGCTATCCCTGCTCTAGGCCTAGAGAAGGGCACACATAGGATAGGTCAACAGGTCATGGAGATTAAGAACAACAAGGCTGTTATAGCAGGCACAGATATATTATGTGGGAGGTATGTACATGTACATGTACTCATCAATCAAAAACACAAATCATTATGCTCCTAATATAAGCAATCGCCTTGTAAGCGAGAGGTCGTGGGTTAGATCCCCACTGGGGTGAACTGACTTTTTATTGTCGTCAGCTTGACGGGCGGCGGGCGGGCGGGCGGCGGCTCACTTTTCAGCTTGTCTACAGGTTTCCAGCCAAACCATTTGACAGATTCATCTGAAATTTTCAGGAATGTTTCTAGGTATCAAAGTTAAGAACTGATTAGTTTTTGGGCATTCTGGGTAAATTTTAAGGTGGCCATTTTGGATTTTCCGTCCTAAAATCTTCACTTTCAAGACTTGTCTACAGGTTTCCAGCCAAACCATTTGACGGATTCATCTGAAATTTTCAGGAATGTTTCTACGTATCAAAGTTAAGAACTGATTAGTTTTTGGGCATTCTGGGTAAATTTTAAGGTGGCCATTTTGGATTTTCCGTCCTAAAATCGTCACTTTCAAGACTTGTCTACAGGTTTCCAGCCAAACCATATGATGGATTCATCTGAAATTTTCAGGGATGTTTCTACGTATCAAAGTTAAGAACTGATTAGTTTTTTGGCATTCTGGGTAAATTTAAGGTAGCCATTTTGGATTTTCCGTCCTAAAATCTTCACTTTCAAGACTTGTCTACAGGTTTCCAGCCAAACCATTTGACGGATTCATTTGAAATTTACAGGGATGTTTCTACATATCAAAGTTAACAACTGATTAGTTTTTTGGCATTCTGAGTAAATTTTAAGGTGGCCATTTTAGATTTTCCGTCCTAAAATCTTCACTTTCAAGACTTGTCTACAGGTTTCCAGCTAAACCATTTGACGGATTCATCTGAAATTTTCAGGGATGTTTCTACGTATCAAAGTTAAGAACTGATTAGTTTTTTGGCATACTGGGTAAAATTTAAGGTGGCCATTTTGGATTTCCGTCCTAAAATCTTCACTTTCAAGACTTGTCTACAGGTTTCCAGCCAAACCATTTGACGGATTCATTTGAAATTTACAGGGATGTTTCTACATATCAAAGTTAACAACTGATTAGTTTTTGGGCATTCTGGGTTAATTTTAAGGTGGCCATTTTGGATTTTCCGTCCTAAAATCTTCACTTTCAAGACTTGTCTACAGGTTTCCAGCCAAACCATTTTGATGGATTCATCTGAAATTTTCAGGGATGTTTCTACGTATCAAAGTTAAGAACTGATTAGTTTTTGGGCATTCTTGGTAAATTTTAAGGTGGCCATTTTGGATTTTCCGTCCTAAATTCTTCACTGTCACACTGCTGTGTTTTAGGTACGATATTGTTCACGTCTGTGCCTTGTTCACATTAGCCCTTAGCACAGGATTTCATTCTGTGTTTTCATTAACTAATAGCATGGTGTTCTACATTAAATTTTGGGGAATGGTGTATCATAATGGATTTGTCTATTGGAAATATGATCCTTTATCATTTCATTGAGAGATCACCTTTGCATTGTAAACACAAATCTTTAAATACTTTCAAAATTATGGATTAGGTCAAAACCAAGACCCCTTAAATCATTCAATAAATGAAGCCTTCAGTACCATAAGTATACCATCCTCCTAAGCAGGTGTCCAGAATCCGTACCTCCTTCTGTAAAAAGGAAAAATATATTCTGGATTTTGAAGTCCTGCGTACAGAGGATGCACATATACCTATGTAAAGTGTATTATGTCTTTATTATTTCCTTCCAGCATTGGTTCAATGAATGAATCATCTAGTACGTCACATATACCTATGTAAAGTGTAGTACCATATACCTATGTAAAGTGTATTATGTCTTTATTTTTTTCCTTCCAGCATTGGTTCAATGAATGAATCATCTAGTACCACACATATACCTATGTAAAGTGTATTATATCTTTATTCTTTCCTTCCAGCATTGGTTCAATGAATGAATGTGTTCAGCATTTCTTTGAGTCAACAGGTATGTAAATCAGAACATTATTGGCAAGTTTGATCGTATACTTCAATTTCTTTTGATCCTCATTTAAGGTGAGCATATTAAGCTTACTTTTGAACATGTATCCTAGAGCATAGTCAGGATCTATAAATTAAAAAGTAAGCGAGGCAAAAATATAAGATCTGATAATTTGGACTGGGTATATCTGGGTATGTTACTACTTTTGACTTCATTTCCCAAAAAATGTCTCTAAGATATATTTCTATATTTAGCTAGGCGATTGCAATGTTCACCTCATGCCAGCCTAACACCCATTTTAGATGTGTTTGTTTGTGTTATGAACGCAAGAAATTAAGACAAAAAAGTTCTGAAATTGACACAATGTTTGGATATTTTATTTTTGGTTACTATGGCAACCATTTTTAATTGAATATTACCATTTTCCTTAAAAAAATTTGCTGGATTAATTTTCTCTCTATATATAGGCGCTATATACTGCATTCTGTGAAAATTTATTAGAGAACACTGAATATAGAAAAATAAGGATATAAGAGAGATACATGTATTATGAGAACTTTATGGTCAACCCTCATATAATACAGTATTAAAATAACATTTTATTCATGTGCAACCTTACAGAGTGTACTCAAATAGAAGCACTGGAATGTGCCACCTTACATCCTGCACAACTGTTGAAGATTACAGACTCTAAAGGAACTCTGGACTATAACACAGATGCAGACTTCATCTTACTCAATGATAAGCTAGATGTCCTAGCAAACTATATAGATGGCCAGCTGGTCTGGGAAGGAGATAAAGCTCCAAAGCGTCGTGTGACACATATTAAAAAATAAAATAAATTTGAGGTTTTCCCATGATTATGGGTTACCAGAACCCCTCTTATCTGTCATTTGTAAGGAATACATTGCGATTACTACGCTCCATTTGTTTTTCAACTTTCTCTCACAAACGACAGATAGGAGGGGGTCTGCTAAACCAGAATGTTTCTAGATTATCTGGATGTGGTTTTCCTGTTGATTCTTTTTATATCTGTTGTGTCTATCAGGTTGGGCTTAAGTGGGAAGTGTGTGGACCTGTACTGTAGTAAAAGAGGAAACCACGATATTGATGAAATGCACATATTGTATAATATTATATTATGTTATTATGTCACCACCACAAGAGGTGACATACTGTTGTAGTCTCCAACTTTTTTTGAAAGACAGTTGATGTTTGGCATTCGGATTTTGGTGGTCAGCATCTGTAACAAATGACATGGCATCTGTAACAAATGGCAGGTGGTGATATTTTGCATGTTAATGCCTTGTATTATATTATAGATGCCCAAACAATTTTAAAAGTGTCATAGTGACAATATTATTACAGTAACAATCTTAACTCTCTCTCTACAGAAAATGTCTCAGGGTGATATACAAGTTTTTACAGTCTCTGTAGATCTGTGCTGATTTAAAACTTGCCAGGAGAAAACCATTGTTTCTCACATAAGTTATGAAAATGAATACACCCCTTTTGCACTCATTTATTTACATAGGATAGACTGAGTAGTAACACTGCCAAGTAGCATAATATTGTACAATTAACCTTTGTAAGTTTTCTACACTCCCCCTCCATAAGTTTGGCAACTACAAGTTCCATTGGATAGCATTCCTATATTAATATTCGGATCTTAATATTGTCCAATTACATTAGTATGAAAATTTATGACTTAAATTATTTATTTCAAAACACCAAGCATAAACAGGCTTTGATTAGTTATCCAAACGTGGACTTCCATTTGCCAAATTTATGGAGGGGAGTGTAAATATATTCAGCAGTTTAGTTTCTTCTATTTTTACTATGTTACACTATACATGTATATTATTCTTTGAGGAGAAATGGATTCATGGGTGTGATTGTGTGTTTTCATGGGTCATTAGAACAATCCAGTTCAGACGGACATTCAATGATATATTTACTTAATGGAAAGTTTTGGAATTTTGAACATATGCAAGAGCACATTGTGGTTAAATATAATGTGTCAGGGCATGGATTTTATGGTGGTATTTAAGAACAAGAATACATACAAACACAATTTTGATACAGAAAATACCCAGTTTGTCAAATTCTGCATTTATTCAACCTTGTACAAGTAAAATGTCCAGATTGACCTTTGCACTTTACACTTCAAATGAATGTTTTCTTACTAATGTGCATGATATTGCTGCCACAGTGAAAACAAATGGCTGTTTTACTGTAAAACTCTTCATGTCAATCTTTTCTGAATATGTGATTAATGACCCATGTTACATTCAAGCACTGTGATGTTGTAATATTTAATTTAAGATTGATTTTTTATGAATCGATGTAAATATTAGTATGTTAATGATTATTATAGAACTGTAATTCAATTAAGATTTAATTGTAAATTATGAAATATGTGCCATGCAAGAGTTGCAATATGCAATTTACAAACATTTCATTTTTATGTGAAATTGAATATACTCGTGGTTATGGTTGCAATATTAAATAGTGAAATAGTGTTACTTGGGTTAGCTTAGGAAATTTTTTGATTTTAATATTTGATGGCTTTCTAATTTGGCCAACTTTTGCTAACTGAATTTCAATTTGCTTAGAATCAGACCAAACTTTTGATAAAGTCTACGAATACTATTACAAAAAAAACTACAGGCATGACAGGGTATTTACTTAAATTTTGGTGAAAATTTTCCCAAATAAAGTGGGCACCAAATAAACCCAAGTTACAGTAATTATCACTGCTTCGACATTTTTGTATGAATCTTTGTGATTGGTTAGACTTGATAATGGATTGAGGTAAAAGAAAAAACATTTTTGAATGAATATTTGTGATTGGTTAGACTTGATAATGGATTGAGGTAAAAGAAAAAACATTTTGAATGAATCTTTGTGATTGGTTAGACTTGAAAATGGATTGAGGTAAAAGAAAAAACATTTTGAATGAATCTTTGTGATTGGTTAGACTTCATAATGACCTGAGGTAAATGAAAACACATTTTTGTATGAATCTTTGTGATTGGTTAGACTTGATAAAGGACTGAGGTAAATGAAAACACAGAATGAAATCCTGTTCTTAGAGCTTCCATGAAAAAGTCAGTCTACCCAAGTGGGGATATATACAATATTACAAGAATTATACAAATAAAAAAGTAAGTAAAATAGCATTCTTTCTTTTATATTTTATTTATGAATTGTGTTAGTTCAAAGCAAACAATTGTACTTATAAGTCAATGTCCAGTAGACCATTGAACTCGACTGGTAAATTCAAGTTACTATATTCAATTGTAGACCTCTTTTGAGGTCAACTGGCAAAATTGTAAGGTACATTACTGAGAATGGAGGTCAATGTCAACAGAACCTTGTAGGTTTACAGTTGAGGTATACAATTTTGCCACTTGACCGAAAAGAGAGATCTACAATTGTATACTGGATATTTGTTAACAGTTGAGGTTCTAATACAAAAGACCTTTACAATAAATCCAGACCCCTTTTGGAGAATCATATAGTAACAATGGTATATAAAAATTTATCTTGTCATACTCTGAAGCCAGTAATGTTTGGCCCAAAAGTAGGTTTACAGTTATTGTAACAATTTGTAAACTGTAAACCTACTTTAGGGCCATCCAATATATGCTTTGAAAGTGTCAAAAGACATCATAAACAAAGTGGCATGATTTTTTAGAATTGGTCTGTCACCCAAGGTTATCTCTGTAGGAGTCAACATTTTATTTTGTGTCCATGTACAGTGTATACACTTGCATCAAGACAGTGAACCCCCTCTAGCCCTTATCTACTTTAACAACATATGCATTGATTTCCTTGGAGAATACACTGGTTAAAAACACCAATGTATCTTGATTGGCTTTTTCAAATGAATCAAACTATTTCCACTTCCGGGGGTAGCATCTGTAGCTAGGCGGTGATTACATGACTGCAGGCCCGTAGCCAGGGGGGGGTGCGGACCCCACCCCCCCCTCCCCCCGGCCAAACTTTTGCCTAGAATTTTTGGAAAAGTGACCCCCCCCTTGGAAAATTCTGGCTACGGGCCAGAGACTGTGTGTGTTGGTGAAGTAGATAGGGAGAGGTCTACAGTCTTAAGACTCCTCCGTGTATTGCTGAATTATTATTGTAGTCCAAGGACAAGTGATTTCATGTGCACCCAGTATATTTTATAACTCTGCACCACAGTGCATCTGAAACATTAACATTATGTCATTAAGGTTTTTACATTCTGATACTCATCACATATCTCTGTTTTCAAACTAGCAATACAATTTTACCATCTACAAGGAATCGACAGAAGGCTTTTATCTCTCATAGATTTCAAATGGATTGAATTTCAAGACATTCAAAATGACTGCTCAAATTTCCAAATTTTTTCTCCCAAGATTACAACCACTTCATTTTAAATTACCTGAATTGTATCTCCCCTACTATATCTGTGGGTGCGTTCCAAGTTAGAGTTATTGAAGTCTTCTCTCCACTGTTGACATGAGTCACTGAATCGTTGGGGTTGTCACATTTGAGCAGCTTACTTGGACCAGAAGCTTGATTGAACCAGGTGCCAATGATTTTGTCTGGAATGAAGTGTTTGTTATCATGAATGATTTGACAAATTGTTCGTTATCAATCATGAATGATTTTTTAAGTGTTCATTATCATAAATGATTTGACAAAGTGCTCATTATCATAAATGATTTTTCAAAATGTTCATTATCATAAATGATTTTTAAAGTGTCCATTATCCAAAATGATTTTTTAAAGTGTTCATTATCATAAATGATTTTTTAAGTGTTCATTATCATAAATGATTTTTCAAAGTGTTCATTATCATGAATGATTTTTCAAAGTGTTCATTATCATAAATGTTTTGACAAAGTGTTCATTATCATAAATGATTTGAGCAGAACATGGACATTTTTAAATGGGATTTTTTAGATTTTGAGCAATATTATTTAGTGAGTGCTGCGACAAACTGATGTAAAGAAAATTGATATTGACAGGAGTCCTGGTAGGCAGATGCAATTTATTTAATCATATTGTTCTTTGAACCTTTTGATTACCTGAAGATACAGTAGTTGCTTGACACAGAAAGCCTTTGAACACCACATCTGGCTCACTCACTTTCACTGTCACTGCAATTGCAAACCTAAGAGTCTGAGAGTACATCCAGTGTAGCCACATTTCCAAAAAAGGCAAGGCAAATTTTAAAAAAAAGATGAGGCAAAACTTAAGCTATTAAATCTTCTTCTGTAATGCGAATTAAAAATCTTAAGTTACCTCACCCACATCAAAGATAGCTACACCAAAAAAACATTAAAAACACAAACATTTTAATAACAAGGTATTAATATGCAAAATGTCACCATCTACCATTTGTTACAGGCATTGAATGCCAGACGCCATTTGAACTGAATGGCTGCCTATTGAAAATTCCTTCTTGAGCAGAGATCCTATGCCTTTAAGGCAACCAACTATAAAAGAACCATATCTGAGAACCAGTATTTGAGATATCACTAACACAGATAAATGAAGGAACAGATGAACTAATGGACAACTTCTTCCTGTTTCCTTTCACGAGAAATGTGGAGTTTACATATACCTTCAACAGTGCCCCCTGGTGAGTATGCAGTCTGTGTAGTTGTGATGGAATAAGGACACAAATCACTCTGTTCATTTGTATTGAAATGGTTGGGCACGCCATTATAACATGCCGCATCTCCTGCACCCCTGGAGTAAGCACCTACACATACTAGGTGCACTGTTATAACTATGAGTGATACGCACAAGTATAGCATTATCTACATAAAAAAGAAATTTAGATATACACGCGTACATGTAATTTGTTCACTTAAATATCATTGATAATACAGAAATAATTTCAACCATGTTTTCAGGCCCTGTCTGTAAATTATAGTACAAGTAAAATGAACAAAAACATTTTCAAATAGGAATACACCACCAAACATTGTTTTTAATATATAAAAATGTGCACCATAACTCACCTTATTTTGCTTTAAACTTTATTTACAGTAGTCTAAGGACATTTAAAGTTCAATATATGTTTAACGTCACCATCCTTTTGTGATATTGGCAATTATTAAGGACCCAAATACATGTTTTTGTAATCAAAATGACAATGGAAACTTTGGCATTGTGTTCTTAAATCATATCAAAGTAAAAGGACATTTGAGAACGAAAACTGCATATATTTCAGCTTCAATACTGCCTTCAGCCTATTGAAACTTGGTGGGAGTGTCACCTCATCAACCGCTCCATTTGTATATGTAAAAAAAATTTCTGTACAATGATAAAAGATCAGATTAGGGAAATGCAATGAACAAATAATGATTCATCTGGCTCCTAAGATTTAGCCTTTCATCAAGATGTTAAACATATAATTTACTTTGAATGGCTTTATGTCATGTATAAGTTGTTGTTGTCTTTTTGTCACCATTAACTAAATATTATGCCAAAGGCAAAAATGTCAGTTAAAAATACTGCAGATCGTGATTCAGCAAAAAGAAGCCTTTCTTCTCATATCATTCATAATTAACACTTTTTCAGGTGAATTTTAAAATATTTGTCACATTGATAATTTTTAAAAATAGAGTTACTAATGTGTTTTAGTGGATGGTAATCCTAAATCCATAGATTATCTATAAGACTAAGGCGTCACACAAATTATTCAGAATGCAAGTTTAGATCTAATAAATACAAACCATGCCCTGACGCCCCATCTATGGTTTAACCCTACCCACAATAAGCCAATATGCGATAACTTTTTATTTTAGTTCAGTTTAGTTACCTCACATTTGAAGAGCTCTCATGAGAGGTACAACTTCGTCTACTGCTTTGTAATAATCAGTCCCTTTCAAGCATTAGATAAATCAGATTGCTTAACACAACTTTTATTGAAAATAATATTTTCATTTATTTCAAATATAAGTGTACATTTTAATGGTGTTGTTTCTCACTTTACTAAAATTTCACATTTAATTTTTAGCTAATTGTTTACATGATTAGACGATTCTTTAGTTTCCCACACAGCTCTAAAACTTACATTCATGTAAGTTAGAATGTTTACAAAAAAAACACGAGAATTTTTTCACATGAATGGTGACATCTCCATTTAATTCTGACGAGTATATGGTCCATAATGAACTTAGTACAGCTGTACTACAAGTTTCTGTCAGTAGTCCTCTATGGGTATTTAGGTAAGTTAACATTTTCCATGTAAGAGTCACATTTCTTTACACAAAATGCACAAGATGCAGCTTTTGTCCTTTCCACCCACACCACATCATGAAACAACATTATGTCCTCTATTGTTCATTTTAAGCATTTCACAATTAATGAGAACAATGTTTCTCAGAACTGGTAGAGCGCTTGTAAGAGTTTATGCTTGGCGTCTGTACAACTGGAGTCTAAAGTTTTATTAGGCCTGGAAAAACAACAGAGATAAAGATTTAACATTGAAAAAATCCCTCAGAACAGGTGAAAACGAATACATGTACATTAAAAATCTTATTTTAGTTGGTTTTTTAATCAGTATATGAATATATGAAAGTTTACAATTACAATTACAAGAAAATATGACTTTTTATGCCTGTTTATTATTTAACAATTAAGGAATGAGGACAGAGACTCGATGATTTATGGTGCAACACATGACCAATGATTTTTCTGATCAAGGTCATACATCCATTATGGACCAGTATTTAAGACATATCGTATCACAATGTTTCTTTTGTTCATAATGACATGTAATACTCAATCTAGAAAATATAACACTTACCTTGATAAAAACAGTGTAAGGATATCACGTCCTGATTTCGGGAAGTATGCTTGTTTGACAACATGTTCAAGGACTAACAATGGCCCTGTAGGTTTAGACACTGGTTTCACTTTATTTTCACTCTATAAACCAAAAATTTAAATGTGCAATGATAATGAGGATATGTTTATATATATGTTTTTTGGGTAGAGTTGCCACAACATTTTCAAATAAAAAGCCAAAGACTTACTTCCTATTCAAGTTTCATTTTTTTACAGACAACAAATTTAAGTAAACAAGGCATTAACATGACAAAATGTCACCACCTAAAACAATTTGGTCAATTTAAAGCAAGTTGAAAAAATACCTCTTTGACTTTTTTTGACATTGAGAAGGTCATTGAAGGTCAAATGTCAAATGTAAAGTCAGATTTGAACTTCTGAGAACATGTAGATGATTTTGAAAAAAAATTAAGTAAATTTGAAGCAAGTTGAAAAAAGACCTTTTTGACCTTGAAAAGGTCATTGAAGGTCAAATGTCAAATCTAAAGTCAGATTTGAACTTCTGAGAACATGTAGATGATTTTGAAAAAAAATTAGTCAATTTGAAGCAAGTTGAAAAAAGACCTTTTTGACCTTGAGAAGGTCATTGAAGGTCAAAGGTCAAATCTAAAATCAGATTTGAACTTCTGAGAACTTGTAAAGTCAAATTTGAACTTCTGAAAAGATGTAGATGATTTTGAAAAAAAAATTTGGTCAATTTGAAGCAAGTTGAAAACAGACCTTTTTGACCTTTTTTGACCTTGAGAAGGTCATTAAAGGTCAAATGTCAAATCTAAAGTCAGATTTGAATTTCTGAGAACATGTAGATGATTTTGAAAAAAAAATTAGTCAATTTGAAGCAAGTTGAAAAAAGACCTTTTTGACCTTGAGAAGGTCATTGAAGGTCAAATGTCAAATCTAAAGTCAAATCTAAAGTCATATTTGAATTTCTGAGAACATGTAGATGATTTTGAAAAAAAGATTTAGTCAATTTGAAGCAAGATGAAAAAATACCTTTTTGACCTTTTTTGACATTGAGAAGGTCATTGAAGGTCAAATGTCAAATCTAAAGTCAGATTTGAATTTCTGAGAACATGTAGATGATTTTGAAAAAAAAATTTAGTCAATTTGAAGCAAGTTGAAAAAAGACCTTTTTGACCTTTTTTGACTTTGAGAAGGTCATTGAAGGTCAAATGTCAAATCTTATGTCAAATCTAAAGTCAGATTTGAATTTCTGAGAACACGTAGATGATTTTGAAAAAATTTCTTAGTCAATTTGAAGCAAGTTGAAAACAGACCTTTTTGACCTTTTTTGACCTTGAGAAGGTCATTGAAGGTCAAATGTCAAATCTAAAGTCAGATTTGAAGGTCAAATGTCAAATCTAAAGTCAGATTTGAATTTCTGAGAACATGTAGATGATTTTGAAAAAAAATTGAGTCAATGTGAAGCAAGTTGAAAAAAGACCTTTTTGACCTTGAGAAGGTCATTGAAGGTCAAATGTCAAATCTTAAGTCAGATTTGAACTTCTGAGAACATGTAGATGATTTTTAAAAAAAAATTAGTCAATTTGAAGCAAGTTGAAAAAAGACCTTTTTGACCTTGAGAAGGTCATTGAAGGTCAAAGGTCAAATCTAAAGTCAGATTTGAACTTCTGAGAACTTGTAAAGTCAAATTTGAACTTCTGAAAAGATGTAGATGATTTTGAAAAAAAAATTTGGTCAATTTGAAGCAAGTTGAAAACAGACCTTTTTGACCTTTTTTGACCTTGAGAAGGTCATTAAAGGTCAAATGTCAAATCTAAAGTCAGATTTGAATTTCTGAGAACATGTAGATGATTTTGAAAAAAAAATTAGTCAATTTGAAGCAAGTTGAAAAAAGACCTTTTTGACCTTTTTTGACCTTGAGAAGGTCATTGAAGGTCAAATGTCAAATCTAAAGTCAAATCTAAAGTCATATTTGAATTTCTGAGAACATGTAGATGATTTTGAAAAAAAGATTTAGTCAATTTGAAGCAAGATGAAAAAATACCTTTTTGACCTTTTTTGACATTGAGAAGGTCATTGAAGGTCAAATGTCAAATCTAAAGTCAGATTTGAATTTCTGAGAACATGTAGATGATTTTGAAAAAAAAATTTAGTCAATTTGAAGCAAGTTGAAAAAAGACCTTTTTGACCTTTTTTGACTTTGAGAAGGTCATTGAAGGTCAAATGTCAAATCTTAAGTCAAATCTAAAGTCAGATTTGAATTTCTGAGAACATGTAGATGATTTTGAAACAATTTCTTAGTCAATTTGAAGCAAGTTGAAAACAGACCTTTTTGACCTTTTTTGACCTTGAGAAGGTCATTGAAGGTCAAGTGTCAAATCTAAAGTCAGATTTGAAGGTCAAATGTCAAATCTAAAGTCAGATTTGAATTTCTGAGAACATGTAGATGATTTTGAAAAAAAATTGAGTCAATGTGAAGCAAGTTGAAAAAAGACCTTTTTGACCTTGAGAAGGTCATTGAAGGTCAAATGTCAAATCTTAAGTCAGATTTGAACTTCTGAGAACATGTAGATGATTTAGAAAAAAATTGAAGTCAATCTAAACAGTATTTGTTAAGTTATAGGAAGTTGTAAGAAATTGTTACAGACGCCGGACGCCAACCGCCGGACGCCAACCGCCGGACGCCAACCACCAACCGCCGGACGCCGTCACAAAAAAACGGAGACCATAACAATATGTCACCACTTTTGGTGGTGACATAATAAAAAGACATGTTCATTGAGATTGAGTGCATAGATATGATTTCTGTTGCATTCATTGAGATTTTGCTCATTTCATGTAGGCTATCTTTCCATTTTCTGTTTTAATTTTTAATTTTTCCCTGACTTTTTTCAAAATTCAAAAATTATCTATTCTTGCCATTTTTATATAAATTCTAATATTCTCTGACCTTTCCTTGAATATATCAACCTTAGATTGAAATAACTAATAATGAAATTCAGTTTTGGAAAAAAATAATTCATGTTGTCCAAATAATCATTTAGGTTGAGAGTAAACAAAATCTAGTTCTTCAAGTTTAGATTACCTTCAAGAGCCCTATGTGAACCAAGATACTGTTTGTCACTTCTATTCCAACGCTTGAACTGCCATTGTTCATCAATTTACTGAGAATATCATCTGAAATCAAACAAGAGACAACATGCTACAACTGAAACATTTATCAATAGGGGCAAAATAAAATGAATATTTCTCAGAGAGAAGAATACTTATCTTTTGATTGTGCAAGGAAGTTGGATTAAATTATACACTAAGATGCACCCCCATTTAACACAAAGGGTCAATTAACCCAAATCCTACATAAAGAAAAGTGGGACAAGATGAATCGACATGCTTATTTTGTCATATACTTTGTATATTGCCTCAGATTATCTTCTGATAGGGGATCACAATGTGTCTGCCATTGAATTTGCCTCATTTAGGCACCTGAAACCATCACTGCATTATTCCCCATCTATTTTTTCCTCATTCTAGTAAGTCTTTGGTTAAACCTATCATCCAAAATAGACCTCTGACAGAACACCCCCACTAGCCATTGATCCCCCTTGATCATGCAATTAATCCCAGGGCTCATGATAATGACTCAAAACGTCGTATGTAGTCTCACCTGCACATTCATTTGCCACCTGGCGACATTTGTTATTGTCTGCATCTACCACAGAGCTGATCCTCATCACTAGCTCTACACACTTGTCAGCATCCTTACACCCCTCCTACAATAATAAACAAAGTAAGTGTACCCTAACACCCCTTTAAGAATAATAGACAATGTTAGTATCTTTGCATCCCTCCCACAATAATAGACATGGTATCTTTGCACCACTAGTCCTAGAATGATAGACAATGTATGTTAGGATAAGAATCCTAGAATAATAGACAACATCTCTGTATCATAGCACCCCTCCTAGAACAATGTTAGTTCACCCTCCTTGATCATTTTACAAATATTTTGTTCTATTGAGAATACATGTGCATCTTTCTCAAGTGTTTTATCTTATTTTTAAGACTGGAATTGGAAATTCTTACCCCAAGATATTCTGAGATTTCCTGTCGTTTCTCTGGTCCCAATGATGTCAACTTACTGGCAGAAGGAAATTGAAGAAATTCAGAAACACTAATTTCCTGGAAAGTATGTACATGTGAGTGGTTAGTCCATAACTTCAGAAATGTTACTCTCATTACCATAACATTCATTCTAGACATATAGATCGAGCAAAGATTTACAGCCTTTAAATCACAAGAAAAACTCAGGTTGAGTCTTGGATAATTTTTTGCTCTGTCTCTGAAATATACCCAAATTTTGGAGCTTTGCATCATCATTAGGCGTTGATACAAAGCTTCTCTCAAAAATATCAAGACTTGGGACAGGTTAACAGGTGACATCACTGACATGACATGGACAAATCAAAATTAACAGGAGACATCACTGACATGACATAGGCAAATCAAAATTAACAGGAGACATCACTGACATGACATGGGCAAATCAAAATTGGTATATGCACCTTGTATAATTTTCAAAAGGTTAGTGAGATAACAGCAATGCCAATGTGTAGCAAATCCCATCAAACATCTTGTCAAGCCTCAGACACAACTGCCAGCTAACATTTCTCAAAATGATTCCTCATTCCTTACTAAATTCACGACCATGCATCACATCTGATGGTGACAAAATATGAAGACTGGGGAAGATTTCTATTACTTATGGAAGTTAAATCAAAAAAAAGTAGAATGGCACATATTTTTTAAATACTTTCTAAAGTCAATAAAAATGCACCCGACCCAACCCCAAACTTTAGTTTTCTTGCATAAAAATTCAGCAACGCCATCTTTGGAAGGAATACCATGAAACTTAGTGAATTACCAGTTCAACCACTTAATGTATTAAACCTAATGGTATATACATGAATTATTTAGATTTTAAAAACATGAGAACTTTTCAGAGATTCTTTGCATTTTATTCAGACATCATAAAAATATATTGAAATATACACAGTAAAGCTCTATACCATTTTATATGTACTTATGGTTGGTTGTATGATTGGGAAATATATGAACAACAAATTACAGCACATATATTCCACATTACGTAAGTTGGTACCCTGTCGCACTTTACATTTTATAATCTGACAAACTAAAACATTTATACTCTATTAAAGAAATTATATACAATTTCAAAATCAGATGTTCATTAAATTTATTGATTTAGCATTTCTAGAAATATTTCAATATTTGGAGTTTTCAGATTCACTAAAAGAAAATGCTTATTGAAAGGAATGAGAATATAAAAAGTGATTGAGATCATTTGGTTTCAACATTATTTTCAGTCAAACAAGCAAACCTGGGTGTAACTCTGTAATCCCACCTCCCAGAGACAAAATTTGCCTTGGCCACAGATTTGTGGAATCTTGAATTTTGATCAATTTCCTGTTTTTTTGTAGAATTTTCTAAACAAATAAAAGCAATATTTTTCTCATAATAATCACATTTTTCATCTGTAACTCCAGGAAAATCCAGCAAAATTCATACACATTTTATTCAGAATTAATCATTTGCAATTGCTGAAAACTGGGAGGAATGATTGTTAAATATACACTATCAACAGTTTGTGCGTAAAAACATGCAGATTCTTAAAAATATGTTCATAAAACATTTCAGTCTTTAATACTGTTACGCTTCTTCAGTAAAAATGCAGCCACAAACTGAGAGGTCTGCAATATTGTAAATTCAGACACTCTTTACTAAAATATTCTGCTTATTCCATGCCATTTCACTTTAAAACTACAATGCATCCTCTCTTGAATTCCTTTAACATTGCCTCAGTTTCCTCACATAATTAGTTTCTATAATCCAAAAGTGCATGCTTTGGTAACTGGTTATCTGCTCCCCAAGACAACTTGTCCCAAAGACAACTCGTCCCCAAGACTCGGTCCAAAGTCAACTGGTCCCAACTTTTATGTTTTATTTAGAGTAATTTTATCATTGTAATATTGTGCTTCATAGGTAATATCAGTGGAGTATTCAGCAGTCCAAAATTGATTTCTTATCAACCTGACTGAGCTATCATCCCAGAAGGCCATGCTTTAAGGCATCATAGTTTTAGTTTATCTAATGAGGCAGCTATATCATTGTCTATTGTAATTTTATTCTGTTCAGTATTATCACCTCCCTGCAAACAGACAGAAAAATCTTGATTGTACTCATTGTAATCTATTGTACTCATGTATTGTATTTGTCTTAGAATCTTAGAAAATGCTTTATATTTATGTGTTTGAAGAAAATTCACACAATTTAGAAAATTAATCACAAAAGTCTACACTTAAATCAAGATTTTTCTGTCTTTAAAAACACATAGTTAAAAATATCACCTAAGTTTACTGTGTATAGCCCGATATGCATATCCTAAAAATGTCAATTCTTACAGTGAGCCTTTTCAAAACCCTTAACTGCCTATGCATGCTATTTCAAAGTGCAGACAAATGATATCTTTCAGAGACTATAAAAATATATACACTGATCATATAACCCAATATTGCACACATGTTTGACCTACCTGGGCATCGTAAGGATGGCAAAGGGGGTCCAAAAAAGCACATTTAGGCAGTCAAGGGTTAAATGGACTGAACTGATAATACACTAGGGCTATGCACATGACAGTTTGCAAATAAAGATGGCACAAACCTGTTTTTGTTGACTGGGGCTGATAGCTTTCCCTTGTACTTGTAGGGCTGGGTCTTCCACTATTTCACCCTCTTCATCATCCTATATTAAACATCAGACACATCACATGTATAATTCAAAGAATGCAGGCAAAAGTGAAATTATGCAGCAAAAATGCAAAATTATGTGGGGGAAAATGCAAATTATGCAACTGAGTTATGGCAAAAAATTCCAAAAAATCCATATTTCGAGTAAATAAAAGCCTTCTTAAATTTTGTAATATCACTATGTACCGCCATACTGGAAGTGGACGATAATACAAAACATTTTTAGAGTTTTTATCAAGAGATATCCTCTGAGAAAAGTGTGAACTATGTACTGAAGAATGAATCAATGAATGGTTTTCATTTTATCAGTTTTTGGATGCATGTTGTACTGACCTGATTGTCCTCATTGTCTGAGTCCTCCTCTGCATCGTCCCCAGCTTCATCCTCGTCTTCTGAACCCTCATCATCACTGTAATTATGCAACAGTTACTTCATGATAAAAATTGCAACAGTTGTTTCATGACACAAGCTGTGAAACAGTTCTTTTATATCACAATTTTTTAAAATACATGTACACTGTTTTTGAGTTCAGTAGCAGTTGTTTTAGGCACAAGTTTTGTAACAGTTTTTTCATATCACAATTTTTTACACAACATTGTTTTTGACAAGAGTTCGCAGTAACAGTTGTTTTATGACACATGTTTTATGACGGTAAGTTTTTTTCATGATATAAGTCTAGTTACATTGTTCCATGAAAGGAATTTGCAACAAACTATTTTGTTAAAAGTTTTTCCATGACACAAATTCAGCAACAGTTAATTAATGACGGAAGTGTGCAGTAATAATTTCATAACACAAGTTGTGCCAAATGTTGGGATTAAATCAAGGACTTTGACCTTTAGACTGTTTATCCATTATTCCTAAGCTAACCATTATTTAAGGATTCAAACATAAAAAAATGATGAGAATATTATATCAAAGTTTGTTAGTGGCCATTCCCAGACAGAGCCCTAGATGGAACATCATAATACAATGTAGATTCCCAGAGTGCATGAAGCACAGTCGTTCATGTATGGAGAATTTAAAGAACGGCTATGCTGCATACTGATTGGTTGAGAAACTCAACTGAAGAACAGTCATGTTTGAATAGGTTTTAAGTACCTGAGAGAGCCAAGTGCATCTAGCATATCTACTGCCTCCAAGGTTGCACGTAAAAGTTCACATCCTTCTTCCCCAAATTGATTACCTATAAAAGTTATTAAAAATCACCGATTAATTCTCTCCTGGTTCCTCTCCAACACCAAATATTTCATTGAGTCTTCTTAAACATGTTCTTCAGGTTGGTTATTATAAAATCACAAAAAAGAAATCAGTTTTCTTCTATACACAACCTTTATATTTTAAATTCCAGAACGTTCTGGGACTTCAAATATAAAGGTTGTGCATAGAAGCAAACTACTTTTGTGATTTCATTGAGTCATTTATATGATGTATCAAGACTCTGAGTGAAAGTTAAGCAAAATTTGCAAAAAAAGTTAATTTTTGAATCTCAAAGAACTTTTAAAATCACATGTCCCTTTCTTTTTCATTCCATATACTCTCAGACTATTCCTTATTCTAGATCATGCAATTTGATAAAAAAAAATTAAGCACATTTTTAATTACTAGCTGCCAAAAAAAGATCATGTTTATAATGGTATGTACGTATTACCATCAAGATCGAGTGTTTCGATAGGTTTGCCTTCCAAAGCCTCTGCTATGGCCGTTGCTCCAGATTTCTTAATTTCATTAAATCCTAGATTCACTTCCTAAAAAGGGAAAATTTGTGTAAGTAAAACTCATGACAATTATACAACTTTTATTTTACAAATTTTCAAATTCAAATTCATTTATATGACTCATATAATGTTACCATATTAACAATAATCATGTAATTCCTAGTTACCTTCAGATTTTTGTGTGTTTGTTTTATAGAGGTTGCTATGGCCGCAGCTCCCTTTGTCCTTACCAAGCAGTCCCCAAAGTTTAACACTTCTAGTTGCTGCATATGTGGTAATGCCTGAAACAAGAGAATGCATGTAGTATGTGTGGAAATACAAGGTTATTCAAATTCATACATACAGATGCCTATTTTTAGAATATTTCAGATTTTCAACTTGATTTGTAAGAGTAATAGCCAAGGAGGATTGGCTCACAGGGTTCCAACTCAATATTCTGCCGTATGTGAAATCATCTTGTGATAACAAAATTCAAAATCGAACAGTTGCAATTTTTTCACTTCAGAATTTGAAGGCCTTTGAATCACAAATTTTGGTCTTATTTCCAAACAAAAAAGTTCAGAAAACACAAGAAGTGATCAAGATATTAATTCGAATCTTTTGGATCGCTGATTATGAATTTATAGTCAGTTATAATGTCAGAAAATAAGAACTTTTTCAATGTTGTCATCAATCAAGGAAGGTCACAGGAATATCGGCCATTCTCCGTGCAGTTCATTCAAGCAAACTTTGCCAAAGAAATCTGCACTGAATAAATTGCATGGAGATTTGGTTGCATGGAGAGTTGGAATCCTGGGAGCCAATATTTGACTAATAGCAAAACCTAGTAATAGCAAGATTAAGAGATTTCTTAATGGGGAAAATTAGAATTTTCCATCCAATGTGTCTTTTACTGGTCGAGAGAAATACTTATGCACAAAATATGTTACTAGTATATCTATACAGAGGCTACATTACAACTGCTACATCTCTTGCTAGATTTATGAAAGGTCATGCACCACTCTACAAAATACAAATACATATTTCACATCTATTATTCCTAACTCATAATCACCTTTGCCATTGATAAGGCTCCTTTTTCTGTGAATGTATTGTCATTGAGATTTATGTTCTTGAGGTTCTTATTGGAGGCGAATGCATCAGCTAAGGCTGTAATTCCTGCATGATTTATACCATTCTGTGGCATAGAAACTTCCTCTAATGTCCCCATAGCCTGAAAACAAAGTTAATTCCTTTAATATAACAGACATATAATAAAATAAAATCACACATTTAGGGGTTTGTCTCAACAGGTGAAGTAGTCCACAGTCTTGAAGAGAGACTATTTAATGCATTTCTGGCAAATAGGCTAAAATAACATTAACATAATTCAAACTCAGGGGTCCATTTTAGGAATCGCCGTAATTTACGATTCTGTCATAAGTCATTGTTCATCAAAAAGAAAACAATGGTTTTCTAGAAATAGTAAGGTACGATCGAACCAAAAACTAATCCCAGCATATTTTGCAATGTCAGGCCTTGTATGGACAGGCTGGCATAATGGACTAAGCAAACTTGACAGATGTACCTTAAAAGCCTCAGCTAGTGCTGTAGATCCCTCATTCTCCAGTCTACCTCTACCAGATACGAACACCTTCAGTCCAAGTGGAGTGCCAGCAGCCACACTTTTCTCATAACTTTCCATCAAAGTTTTAGCAAGTAACTGGAATTCAAAATTCAACGTTTTTTAGCTTCAATAGTTTCGATGTTTAAGAGAGAAATTCAAAGAAACCTCTGAATAAATTAAAGCAATGGTTACTGTTTGTTTATGAAGTATGTTAACAATGAGTTTTTAAATTAACAAGGTGTAATATACTGTATGTAAGCAAGTTACATGTAAAAAAAACTGCAGATGTGAACACTCTAATTTGAAAACCTCAAATGTAATCTTGTGGAGTTGGTCACACTTTTTAAGCACCAGAAAATTTATATTGAGACAGTACAATGGCAAAAACCAACCAAATTGAAAAATTCTGTATTTCCTAAAAAGTTAATGAGAAGGCAAAATTCACATTCTACAGGTAATATTAGTATTATGTACCTTCTACAGTCAATATTCACATTCTACAGGCAATATCCACATTCTACAGGTAATATTAGTATTATTTACCTTCTACAGTCAATATTCACATTCTACAGGCAATATTCACATTTTACAGGCAATATTCACAATCTACAGGCAAAATTCACATTTTACAGGCACTCTTCACATTCTACAGGCAATATTCACATTCTACAGGCAATATTCACATTCTACAGGCAAAATTCCCATTCTAAAAGCAATATTCACATTCTACAGGCAATATTCCCATTCTAAAGGCAATATTCATATTTTACAGGCAATATTCCCATTCTAAAGGCAATATTCCCATTCTAAAGGAATGTTCACATTCTACAGTCAACATTCATATTCTAAAGGCAATATTCATATTTTACAGGCAATATTCCCATTCTAAAGGCAATATTCCCATTACAGGCAATATTCATATTCTAATCTACAGGCTTCAAGGTAGGGTGGCTCAAAATAATTTTTTTTTGGAAATGTTATGCTCCCTACATGAATCGAGTTGCATTTTGAGGTAAATATCACCTGTGATTTTTTTCAAATTTTTTAGTCAACTTTTAGGGGTCCCCCACAGCCTTTGAAGTTTGCCCATAGGCTTAACATTAGTGGGCGTCGCCCAAAATCGTACTTTGTAGAAGTTTTCTTCTAGAGTGATTTATTTATGTTGTTTAAAGAAAAACAACATTGTATATGATATGATTAGATGTTTAAATCATCATATTACTCTGTTTCATCATGTGAACTTATATAAAAGGTTATACTTACAATATCCTATTAACAAAATATTAGGTACATTCGACCAGTATAATTATTTGAACAAGTACAGTTTTAGAGAATCATGTCTCATATATGATTTGGTATTGTCATTATAATGGTTTAAACTGTAAAAGGTATTTTCATTTTTGACATTTAATGTTTTAAACATGGTTCAGATCAGATTTTCTTATATGTGACACTCTTCCTCTATGATCTGAGCGTACAACACATACATTGTCACGATGCGCCGCGTCATAGGTCATTTGAGAGCATTCCTGTACCAGATTCAGTGCTTGTTCAGCTGGATCATTCACAGAATGCAGGTCTTGACAGAAATTCTGGGTTTGAATATAAGTTGCTCTGAGCATACAACACATACATTGTCACAATAAGAGCCAAGATCTCTCAGTTACAAACATTGCTAGTGATGGTTTAACATTGCCTAATCAAGCAGCAACTGGGTTGAATTCAGGCTGTCCTGGTTTGCCAGTTGCAAATTGTACAGGCCGTGGGATGTTAAGCAGTGCTGTAGCAAGCTCCTGCTTCTCCTCTCTTGCTCTGTCTTACACTGCCAAGAGCTGCGACCAACCTGGAGCCTACCACCATGTCAGGTTCATGGGGAAGAGTCTCAACCTCTTGAAGACATTCATGCTCAGCCACTTATTTGTCCAACTTACTCCACAGCAACTGCAGAGGATAACACAACTTTTGGGATTTGTGGTCTGTCTCTACGGATGGTTTCCTAAGTGCCCCGTTGACAACCACAGCACCTCTTCACGGTCTCAAGTTCTGGTATCATCTGCAGGAATATCTCAAATGACCTGTGACGCGGCGCATCGTGACAATGTATGTGCTGAACGCTCAGATCATAGAGGAAGAAAATCTGATCTGAACCATGTTTAAAACATTGAATGTCAAGAATGAATATACCTTTTACAGTTTAAAACATTATAATGACAATACCAAATCATATATGAGACATGATTCTCTAAAACTGTATTTGTTCAAATAATTATACTGGTCGAATGTACCTAATATTTTGTTAATAGGATATTGTAAGTATAACCTTTTATACAAGTTCACATGATGGAACAGAGTAATATGATGATTTAAACATCTAATAATATCATATACAATGTTGTTTTTCTTCACACAACATATATAAATCACTCTAGAAGAAAACTTCAACAAAGTACGATTTTGGGCGACGCCCACTAATGTTAAGCCTATGGGCAAACTTCAAAGGCTGTGGGGGACCCCTAAAAGTTGACTAAAAAATTTGAAAAAAATCACAGGTGATATTTACCCCAAAATGCAACTCGATTCACGTAGGGAGCATAACATTTCCAAGAAAAAATTATTTTGAGCCACCCTACTTCAAGGACTTACTTTTCCTCCCCTAGGGCCGAGGCCATTATTGTTGAGTTTTAGTTCTTTCAGTGAGTAACAACTTGGACTCTTCAGTAGTTCTGCTATACCTTCAACACCTAAGAAAAAACAAAATTCCTTGAGTAATTAAACAGACCGGTACATGTACAGTTAGTAAAACCTGTATACCCAGACACTTATCTTAACTGTACCCTTTTTTGCCGAAAAAAACATGCTGATTCTTCCACTCTATTTTGCTTTTAAAATAATCTTTCAATCATATTATTCTTTCAAATCATGTAAAGTAACCCACTTGAATGGATTGGGTGTAAATGACAATTATTTTTCTACCAACCTATGGGTCCAAATGCATTGTCACTGAGGTCTAACTCTACTAGTTTGGCCCCTGCTTCCATAATTGCATTCCCTAGAGACACCTGGAACAAAGTAATCATTTCAAAACAAAATAGAAATATTTAGTCATAAAATACTATGCATTTGTCTCTGATATAACAATGCTTAATTTACAGTCTACAACAAATAATATGAATGCAAATGAATGCAAATTTAACTAATTATCAGTTCATGAGGATTGTTGAGTTTATTGCTTGGAATTACTGGTAAGTGAAAAAGTCTAGTTACAACCCCATGTGACCCCTCCCCTGAAAACGTCAATGTGTTGACGATGAATTGAGCAGTAGACTGAATGTCTATATGTTAGATTCTGCCAATCATGTTTAATACTTTGTGATGAACCCAGTGGATTTTGGATCACAGGTGGACAATTTAACCTGGGACATTCAAATAAAATGGCTGAAGGTTGGAGAGCATCCTCCGATCAGAGGGCTTCAAAATCCAGAATATATTCTTTCTTTTTACCCCCTGCGATAAGCAGTTAGCATTTCCCCGATTAAACACTCGCAATCTGATTGGCTGTCGCAACACTGCTACAGAAATCATGTATAAGTCATTACGCATAATTAGATCACGTGATTCAGTTAAATCGGGCGCTTCCAAATTGGTTATAGCAGGGGGAAGAAGGAGGTACAGATTCTGGACACCTGCTTAGGAGGATGGCTATGACCAAGGTCTAGGATATACAGCTAGCTGTATTTTGATTTTGATACCTGCTTAAGAGGATGATTGGAGAGGGGACAACAGTACTTACTAAAGCAGGTGGTATTTCTGTCTTTAATCTTCCTGTGAACATATCTTTCCATAGTGCCCTCTGAAAGAACAAGTTCAACATTATCAATGATCGGTAATTCAAACATCACAAAAACAGATATTCATATCGTACACTAAAGAACAGCGCTACACATAAATGGTCAACTTAAGTGTCCAAGAGTTAACAATCAATTAGCCTAATTAAGGTATGCCTAAATATCAACAATATTTGGTACCCCACCCACCTTATCAAAGACATGAATATTAAGAGTTATCGATAATAATATAAATACATACTTCAAATTCTGGATGTTTTTTCAAGGCATCTGCAATTGTGGATGCTGCATCTACTCCTAGAGTGTTGCCTTCCAGTCTCAAAGCTGTCATGTGACTACATGCTTCTATACCTTTCACTATTTCTACAGCTAAAAATCAGAAAAAATATTTTTATCTTTAGTGCAAATATACATGGAGAATAAAGCTGAAATGAGGCATTCAAAATTGGATCCTGTATATTATGATGGAAAAAGATCTGTATAGAGCTCTTCAGTACAGGAGGTTGTTGTCATCTGCAAAAAGTACAAACTTCAATATAGCAGAAGTTCAACTGAGGTCATTCATATAAATAATAATAAAAAGTAGGGGTCCTAGGATAGACCCTTGGGGTAATCAACATGAAATATTTGCTGGGTTTGACAGATGGGTTTTATATTGTGTGATTTGTTTTCTTTCTGTTAAATAAGATTTAAACCAAGAATTTGCAACACCACAAATTCTATAATAATGAAGCTTCTCCAGCAAAATAATGTGATCAACCATATCAAAAGCTTTGGATAAGTTAAGAAAAAGACTGATACAGAATTTAATATTATTAAGAGAATGGTGAAGTGATTCTAAAAAAGTGAGAATTGCCATATAGGTTGATAAAATTTTTCTGAAACCAAATTGATCTTTACTTAATAATTTGAATTTATCCAAAAAAGTGTGACTTTCTTGTGCATGATTTTCTCAAATACTTAAGAGAAAGCACTAAGAAGTGAGATTGGTTTATAATTAGTGTATATACAGGGTGGGCCAAAAAAATGCCACTTTTTTCAAAATGCTGTAACTTTTTTAATGTTTAATGCCAAAAATCATAATTTGCATACCAAATGAAACTTGAGGTTGTTATCTAGTCATGTATCATGAATTGAATACTTTTACTTGAAGAAAATATGTCACCAGCGTCTCACTTAAACATGTGGTGTGCCATGAGAAATAAGCATAATTTGCAAAATGTTCCTGAACTGATATTTCCTGATGATCGCGAAGCTAATAGTCCTGATGCAAACCCCAGTGAGTATAGGGTAGGGGAAGGTCTCCAGGAGATTGTATAAAGGCACCCAATCTTGAAAATTGCTCAACTAAAGCTGACAATTAAGACAGGTTGAAAAAAACTTAGCTAACATTTCATTGATACTGCTATATCAGCGAGGTGACTAAAACTAAAATATATCATCAAATAGGGTGGCGGACCAATTGAACTCCTCTTTTAAATCAGATATAATCCAAGTTGAAGGACTTGTTACATTATATTATTACTAAGAACCCCTGGCACTATATAACTGCAAAGTATGGGGTATGTAGGTTGGAAAATAAAAAAGTTGTAGTGTCTTGAAAAAAAGTGGCGTTTTTTTTGGCCCACCCTGTATAAGCAAAACATTCTGTTAAAACAATATGATTCCTTGCAAGTAGACTCAGAATAAAAATCAATCATCAGTCCATCTCTCCAAAAGCCAAAGATCAGAGGATCCCACCTCCACACATTCTTCAAAATATCAGACTTATTTTCTAAAAAGAGGACATATTTTCATTTTATTTCATGAACATATTATTTAACAAAACACCTATAATATTTTCAAAGGTTTGTGGTTTAACACACAACGACATGTAGAAGCAAACAAATAACTAACTGAAACGAGCCAGGTAACAAATACCTGTTTGGCACCAGGCAAAGAAATGTTCCACGACCTGTTGGCCAGTCAAAAGTTAATTTTTAATGCTGGCGCCCTTTGCAGCATTCTCAATTGTTTTTGTATCAAGTCCCATAAGAGTTAGTCCTCCATCCTGTATAATGTTAGCACCATTCATCATAGATGCATCATCTGATGCCAGATACCAATCAGCTTAGCATTCTTAGCAGAATTATTAAATAAAAGCAAATCCTATATAGCTGGATGTTATATGGTACAATTGTTAAGTATAATGTTTACCTTGATACTTATCCAAATAATACTTTTTAAAATCTTTAATAGTCTCCAAATAGAATAAAATTATCAGTCATCATGGATTATACATGACACCAGCTCAACAAATTCTTCAAAATGTCAGACTTATTTTATAAAGAAGATCTTTTAATCATATTAATTACATTAATAATATTATACCAAGACAATTTAAAATTTCTTCAAAAGTCTAAAATATACAGCTATATTTTGGAAGCATATAACTAACTGAAACTAGACGTGTAGCTATTTTGGAACCAAGCAAAAATGTTTGTTTTTAAGGCCAGTTAGGCATTCAAAAGTAAACATTTATTCACTGGCACACTTTGCAGCATTCTCAATTGTTTTTGTATCAAGTCCCATAAGACTGAGTCCTCCATCCTGTATAATATTAGCACCATTCATCATAGATGCATCATCCGACGCCAGATACGCAATAAGTTTAGCTGTCTCCTCGGGAGAAACAGGTTTCTTTAATGGGGAGCAACGTGTGAAATTCTTATACATTTCATCTTGCTCTTCATTTGTATTAACAATTCCAGCTTTGAGAAAGATGCCAGTTGCAACCACCCCAGGGCATACTGAATTCACTCGGACTCCTTCAGAACCATATTCTATCCCTGCACATTGAGTAAACTGATTTAGCGCTGCTTTTGAAACAGATAAAAGTGCATATCCAAGGGTCGTTGGCCTTGTTCCAACTATGCTTGATACATTCACTATGTTTCCTTTGTTTTTCTTTAGCTCTGGGAAACATTTCTGTGATAGAAATAAAGGCCCCTTAAGAGCAACAGTAATCTGCTTGTCAAATTGTTCCTCTGTGACATTCTCAAATGTACAGATTTCAGCAGTACAGGCATTATTCACTAGGATGTCAATTCGCCCAAATGACTCCATAGCAGTGTCAAATAATCGCTGTATCAATGTCTTGTCACTGTTGAAGTCTCCCTGAACTAAAGGAAACTTGGCAGTCTGTGCACCAACTTTCCTGCATTCTTGAACAGTCTGTTCCAGTGTTTTCATGTCCCTGCCATGTATGACAACACTGGCTCCTTCTTTTGCCATCAAGAGGGCAGTGGCCTTCCCAATACCACTGTTTGACCCAGTGACTATAACTCCTTTACCAGAAAATCTCATTTTGATGTCTGTCTTCAGTGTACAGCAAAATTGTAATATAGGTGTTAGTATATGATGATACTTTGCTTGTTGAACTAGAAAACGGGAGGGTCAACTTAACTTTTATCATATGCATTCACTTCACCTATACTTAATCATTGTTTATTGCTTTTCTGTATGGTTTGTACATGCTTTTTTTATTATTTTTTTCATCAATTTATCATCTTTAGTTTAGCAGCTGCTACTCATATGGGTACAAGCAACTGACACCAATATGGGCCAAAACTTATAGCTACATATGATAATATATCATAGTTGTATTTATCAAGATGAAAAGATATACAAATGTTTTTTAAGGTAGAACTTTACTGTCCATTGCGCAGTCAGTTCACATATCCTAAATCCCACTCTTGCATAAGCTCTCGTTGGATGAGAATCTAAGACGGAAGTCAACCTCAGGAGTGAAAGCTTCATGAAACAGTATCATTTAAAGATTTAGATTAAAGTTTTCACTCAGGCATGTATTCTAATAATACAGGTGATATAATTGAACATTTCAAATCATTTCATTTAGCGAAGTAATAGGAGTGTATTGTCTAAAATATACAGCTATTTTATGGAAGCAAATAACTAACTGAAACTAGGCATGTAGCTATTTTGGTACCAAGCAAAAATGTTTGTTTTTAAGGCCAGTTAGGCAGTCAAAAGTTAATATTTATTCATTGGCACACTTTGCAGCATTCTCAATTGTTTTTGTTTCAAGTCCCATAAGAGTTAGTCCACCATCCTGTATAATGTTAGCACCATTCATCATAGATGCATCATCTGATGCCAGATACAAAATCAGCTTAGCGGTCTCTTCAGGAGTACCAGTTTTCTTAGTTGGGGTATGACGTGAGACTATATTATAAAATCCTTCTTGCTCTTTCTCTGTGTTAACAATTCCAGCTTTGAGATGGGCACCTGTTGCAACCACCCCCGGGCATACTGCATTCACTCTGACTCCCTCAGAACCATATTCTATCCCCGCACACTGGGTAAATTGATTCAGTGCTGCTTTTGCAACAGGATAAATTGAATGTCCAATAGAGTCGGGTCTTGTTCCAGCTATGCTTGATACATTCACAATGTTTCCTTTGTTTTTCTTTAGCTCCGGGAAACATTTCTGCGATAGAAATAAAGGCCCCTTAAGACCAACATTAATCTGCTTGTCAAATTGTTCATCTGTGACATTCTCAAATTTACAGATTTCAGCATAACAGGCATTATTCACCAGGACATCAATTCGCCCAAATGACTCCAAAGCAGTGTCAAATAATCGCTGTATCAATGTCTTGTCACTGTTGAAGTCTCCCTGAACTAAAGGAAACTTGGCAGTCTGTGCACCAACTTCCCTGCATTCTTGAACAGTCTGTTCCAGTGTTTTCATGTCCCTGCCATGTATGACAATACTAGCTCCTTCTTTTGCCATCAAGAGGGCAGTGGCCTTCCCAATACCACTGCTTGACCCAGTGATTATAACTCCTTTACCAGAAAATCTCATCTTGATGTCTGTCTTCAGTATGCAGCAAAACTGTAATATAGGTGTTACTATAAGATGATAGTTTGCTTGTTGAACTAGAAAACAGGAGGGTCAACTTAACTTTTATCATATGCATTCACTTCACCTATACTTAATCATTGTTTATTGCTTTTCTGTATGGTTGTACATGCTTTTTTACATTGCCTTTACAATGTAGCGAAGGACATAGACAGTTTGCATTTTTGTTTTATTTCATCAATTTATCGTCTTAAAGGCCCCATATAAAGTTTAAACCACTTTGGCTTAAATTGTAGTCTTACCCAATGTTATCAAAGTGTGATATGTGAAACCTTTTTTTTAAATTTCAAAAAGTGGTTTTTGATAGACTTTTTGTTCCAAAATTTGTGAGTTTATTTAAAACCAACTTTTAGAGGTCACTCATATCTTCTAATTAGCACAATTCATACCAATGCATAGCATTCATCCTCCCGTGATTTTTGCCGAAAAAATGAAGAAAATCAGT